CTACTACCAGTCCTTCATCACCTTACACGAAATAGGGTGGATACATCTCATTAAGCTGAAGTATGTTTTTGGACTTAAAATTGCTGACCAACTAGGGAGCGTCGCATGCGCACACGAATACGTATCCACGAGGCTCTAACAAGGCCCAGGACTAAAGGATCATATGTTAGTTTATTTACACATACAAAAGTTGTGACCACATCCGTTCCCCTTCTTGGATCACATTGACCCGCTTACATGCGTGCAGGACATAAAACATAAAACAGCCAACCAAATCATGGAATGATTAATTAAGATCGCAAAATGGGTCATAAGAAGTAAGTAGTATCTCAGCTGGCCACCTTTATTGGTTTAGTGTTTTTGGTGCTTGTTCAAGAATAATACTTTCTGACTCTGACGATGTCCATAACATGAAGGATGAAAGCTCTGCTCATAGTTATCGGAGTCGCGAGACAGTGAGCCGAGGTCCAGTGAGGCCAATCTACGAATTCATCAACCCGCCTCATCAAACGAAATGAAAGGTATGCCAGCATTAATCTACGAAGGGATTCTTCGAAACCCAGCTTCTCTTCATAACTCAAACGTAATATGGGGTTTTAAGTTCTCCCAGATTGGCCTTCGAGGGCCCCCAAATGGTGAAAGATTGGCTAGTCCTTGAGAGTTTGGCATAACTTTCACTCATTCGTGAGGTAAGCTATTATTTTAAAATGGCGAAGTTTCGTTTAATTGGACAGACGGTTTTTTCGCATGGAGTAATTCTGCGAAGCACTCAAATTCTAAACACTTTAACCTTATTTTTCGTATATAAGCAGAGTTTCGAGACTACCAGTAAATCAGTTATATAATATGTATATTCACCCTATTTCGTTTAAAGTGATGAAGGACTGATAGTCAAGTTTTCCCACAATCATATGAGTAGAGTTAAAGTCCCCATTGAATTTCACATAGCCTTGCTTTCCATATAACTGATTTACTGATAGTCTCGAAACTCTACATACATACGAAAAATAATTAGCGTAGTCGTA